CCAGGTCAATTTACTTAGACATAAAATAAGCAGGTGTGCTGGAAGGTGGTGTGCTTAACTCTTTAGAATTTAAGAGTTATTAATTAATTTTAAATTTTATTATTTTTTAATTATTTATTTATGTATTTATTTAGCTAAGCTTTTGGAGTCAAACTAATACTAAAAAGGGAATGTGCTGCTTGGTTGGGAATTGTGTGGTGGTTTACAGTGTACTTCATTGCCTGCAAATTTTCTTGAGGTTGGCTGGTGACCTAGCGTCCACCTACCCATTCTATGGCCAACTCATCCTAACACAGGAGTGTTAGAGTTTGGTGGCAAGTACTCTAATAGCTTTTAAGTGTTCAATCCATGCCCACCAATTTTTGTGGCTTTTAGGCTTCCAAGATCCTTGTCAATAATAGCCTTTCATACAAAACAAAACAAACATGTGAACCTTAATATACCACGCAGTAACCAAAGAAACGTTACTGCAGACTGGCCAACAGAAGGCACTGTGCACACTGCCAGCCATTCCCAATGTGGAACAGGGGTTGGGGAGAGAATTGAAACAAGAGACCCCAAAGAATGGGGACTGCAAGCTGATTCCAAACAAATGGGAAACTGCAGACTAAATTGCCAACAGTTACCAGTGTGGAATCTGGTCACAGAACAAAGGGCTAAGATTTCCAATCAAATGGGGAACTGAAAACTGAACCAAGGGCTAGGGGTTAGTTCTGGGTGGAACTGTCTGCTAGCTTAAACTGACCTGCCCTGGGCTGGAAAGCCAATTAAATCAGGAGCTCAATCCAAAGAGAGTGAAACTCAGAACCAAGAGGAACTTACCCATGGCCTTCGGAAATGGCAGGAAGACAGAGAACTCAGTGGGTTTGTGGAATACCATGCCTGTGTTTCTTGTTGTCTTGAAGCCATCAGAAGTTCACTTCAGATCCCACTGCTGCCACCAAATCTGTTAAAAAAAATATTCAACTGAGTAAATTTTATAGATTTTATTGGCTTTGTTCAGTGATTCATGAATTGGGTAGCATCCCATGTAGCGGACAGAAAGGAGATGTACAAAATGGAAGGCTTTTATAAGCAGAAGGGGGTAGGACAAGGAAAGAGCAGATTACCTCATCTTTCTCTGGAGGATGGAAGGGGTCTAACAAGTGGATTACCTCATTAGTGCTGACCAGGAAATTCCAGACTGACCAGTTAAGATTATATTCCTGGGGGAGGTTGAAACCTCAATTAAGTTAGGTATTAAGTCTTGATTGGTCACATGGCTTAACACAAGTGACTCCATTTGGGGTCTGTTGTCTCTTTTTTTTAAACACTAACAATGAATGCTTTGCTCTGCCCTGCCCTCCTAAGAAGTTCCTGCTGTAGCTCCTGAGTTTTCATAGGTCTTTATATATACCTCTCTTATGACACTGAACATTTACTTTGTGTATTAAAGTTATTGGTATTAATAATAATAAACATTCTTTATTAAAAATGTAATGCATTATTTCATTTTATCTTCTTAATGACTCTATCCCCATTTTGCAAGTTAGGAAACTGAAGCATGAAAAGGTTAAATAACTTATCCAGGAATGTGTAAGTGGTGGAGTCCGAGTTCAAATGAATAGAGCCTAGAGCCCATACTTCTAACCACTACTACACAAGACACTACTGTGGTTACTAGATTAGGAGCTCCTGGATGGCAAAAATCCTTGTATGCTCCATCTTTGCATCTCCCAAAGTACCTAATGCCACTCATTGCCCTTTAACGTTGCTCAGTAAAAAGAAGCACATATTTGGTCAAATGTCCCTTTTCTTTCATCAGTAGGTGGATAAATTAGTGGCTGTTACATGGTGTTTAATGCAAATACTACAGTTTCATTTCCCCACCGCTCCACCTCCCCCTTTCTCTGTTTTTTCTCCTTCTCTTCCCCCAGCCTGTGGAGAAGGTAATATTGTTGGGAAGAGCAGAAGGGGCTTCTTTCTACTCTAAGGAGAGCTTGGAGGAGCTCTCCTAGGGACTAGACACTTCCTGAGTAATATTCAGGCAGCAGACCTTTTTAGCTGGCAAATGCTCTACAGTTTGCAACCTCAGGTCATTCCAGAGAATGAACCTTTTGAAATAAACACAGAGGAATGGGACCTTTTATTATCTCCAGATGGGACTGTGCAGCCTTGGAAGCTGTAGAAGTAGTTCTGCTATGCCTGGATCGCACTTTTCTTATCTTCCAAAAGGAAAGAAAGTTCCTTTCACTGAGAAATGGTAAATAGTGTTAATTAAAAGCCAACTTGGATTAAATTCTGCAGATTGACCCCACCCTACTCAATCCATATTTTTCTAGTTTACGTTTTATTTAACTTAGCATCCCTCTCATCTTTTAAAAATATGATACTAGGTTGAGTTGAAAACACACACACACACTAACACACACACACACATGTAAAACTGTCGTTTTTGAGTTATCCAGGTTTAGATGTTATTTTATAGAACAAGGATGAAATCTGAAAGTGGAATGTCCTTTAGGGTATACTAGAAAAGGAAGTAGGTTAAAGCATATCTGTAGTAGTATTATTTTTCACTCTGTTAGTGGTGGCCAGCTGGGCAGCTTCCACATAGAAGATGCCCAATAAACATTTATTCAATGAACTCCATACTTAAAAATTTTGGGCTATAACATTATAAAATATAATTTCAAAATGAATGATGCCACCTATTGGTGAAGATAAAATGTAAAACGATCGCTAACATAATAAATTACTTTATGTTTCCCGATCATTTGTTACTTACTCCCATAGAGATTATAAGAATAATTGAGGAGCTGGAAGGAATAAATTGCTTGGTCCATACAGACATGAAGCACTAATGTTTTCAATTTGGTTGCTCTCTACTGGGTGCCTATTAAGTGCACAATACTTAGGAAGATTCTAGAGAAGTGAAGACATAGCACCTGACTTCAAGGAGCATCTTATCTAGTTGGAAAGACCTATCTCCTGAGAATAGTCAGCAAATAAAAAAAAACAATAAATAACCTGGGGCTTCCCTGGTGGCGCAGTGGTTGAGAGTCCGCCTGCCGATGCAGGGGACACAGGTTTGTGCCCCGGTCCGGGAAGATCCCACATGCCGTGGAGCGGCTGGGCCCGTGAGCCATGGCCGCTGAGCCCGCGCGTCCGGAGCCTGTGCTCCGCAACGGGAGAGGCCCGTGTACCGCAAAAATAAATAAATAAATAAAAATAAAAAATAACCTGACATTAAAATGCATGATGTTCATTCCATGTATATGGTTATATTTTATTTATTATATGCTAAACGTACTTTTGAGACTCACAGGGAAGAAATAAGTCTGTTTTGCTTACCACTTACCCCAGGACTAGCACATCACTTAGAAGACAATTGATAAACACTATTGAATAATTGAATAATTTAGGTCTCATGGTTAAATACACGTAGTTTAGAGAATATTTTAAATCCTGACTGGCAAAATAGATCAGAAAATACATGTGAACACAGGAAGTCATATGGAGGAAGTGGGGTTTGAGTTCTGGAAAATCCCTCAAGGGATTTATAACCAAATACAGACGAAGCCATCAGTGTAGGGAGATCTCTTGTAATCTTGGATTTGTGTTTGAACTGGAGATTTTTTGTGGTTTGCTGTGTCAACCCACGCTTTTTCCTCAGTCCATGACTGAGTTTTTGCTCAATCCTGGTGAAGTCCAAAAGCAAAGGAAATAGTGGGAAGTTGCAAGGCTGTAAACATACATTTTACTCATGAAGTCTTACAGGCATTTGGCCTAGAAAAGTTTTTTCTTTCTCTCTTCCTCCAGCCCAGCTATGTGCTTCAAAGTATTCCTATAATATTTGGTAATATATATCAAGAGTCTTAAAATGGTCGAACCTTTTGATCTAGTATTTCTCCTTCTAAGAAAGTATGCTAAGGATATAATCAGGAATGTGAACAAATGCTTTCTGGAACAAAGGGAAAAATCTATAGTCAATATGGAAGCAGTTAAGTTTTGCTACAGATTTAAGACAGTTCTCGCACGATATTAAAAAATATGGCGCATGTAGGTTATCCCTGAATGCAAGGATTACAGGTTGTTTTGATTTTACTCTAGTGTTAAGAAAGTCTTTGAAATTTAGTGGATGAAATTTAGCTCATCCATTCTGGTTATTTCTGCTTTCACTGTCTTTGACTAGACTACTTTACAACTCAGTAGAGAAAGAGGGTTAACATTTAGAAAATTGATAGTAGTGCAAATGTTTTCTGTCCATAGCTATGTAAACTATTTCTATTAATGTAATGCAAATGAATTTTGCCTGGTAGATAATATAAATCTCTGTATATCAAATCATTTGAACTGCCTATAACATCTTACTGGTTTCCTCAGTAATTGAGTTAAATAAAATCTTTAATATGTGTTAATTTGATATTTACATGAGTCATGATTTTACCTTTTACCTAGCTTTTCAAAAGCTATCCTTAACACTATATATTTCCTAGATTTTCTACAATAAACATGTGTTGCCAATTTTTAAAAAATATTTATTTATTAATTATTTTTGGCTGTGTCGGTCTTCGTTGCGGCATGTAGACTTCTCTCTAGTTGTGGCGGGCGGGCTACAAAGCACATGGGCTCTGTAGTTGCAGCAAGCAGGCTTAGTTACCCCGCGGCATGTGGGAGCTTAGTTCCCTGACCAGAGATTGAACCCCTGTCACCTGCATTGGAAGGCGGATTCTTAACCACTGGACCACCAGGGAAGTCCCTGTGTTGCCAACTTTTAATTTAAGTACATTATACATGCATATCAAATTAAAACATGCATGTTTTAACGAAGTATGTAGGCATGCATACATAAGTTTATAGCTCAACAAATTTTCACAAAATTAATACACGTATGTAACCAGTTTTCAGATCAAGAAACAGAACATTATTACCACTCCAGAAGTTGCCCTTGTGCCTCCCTCCTAGTCATCACTACTTCCCCACCAAAACAGACCTGACTTCTAACATCAGAGATTCATTTCCCCAAACAGGAATCGAACCTGGGGCCCCGGCAGTGAGAATGCAGAGTCCTAACCACTGGACCACCAGGGAATTCCCCGTTTAACTTTATATCCGGCAGTGAGAATGCAGAGTCCTAACCACTGGACTGCCAGGGAATTCCATGTTTAACTTTATATAAATGGAATCACATGGTGTATACTCATTTGTGCCTGGCTTCCTTTACTCACCACTATGTTCATGAGATTCATCCATGTTGTTGCATAAAGTTTTAGTTCCTTCATTCTCTCTGCTGTGTAGTGCTCCATTATGTGAACAGATTAAAATTTATCTATGGGCATTCAGATTGTTTCTGGTTTGGGGCTATTACAAATAGTGTTGCCATGAATATTTGTGTACATATTTTTTGGTGAAAATATGAATACATTTCTGCCAACTATCACATGTATTACTTTAAAAGTTGAAAAAATAAACCTAAACTACAAAAAAAATCAGTTTCCCTTTTTTCTCTACAGGTCATTCCATCTAGATAAAATTCTTTTGATTAACAAATTCTTTTAACATGTAAATGTATTCCAGAAGAATTAATCCTCATTTATGCCTTACTGTGAATTTCTATAATCCGATATTGAGATCAACAGCTAGTTGAGAAGTTTCCACTGGTGCTGAAGGGTGTAAGGAAATCTGGGGTGAGGAAGAGGGAGAGGGAGATTTGGGTCTTACAGAAGGCAGTGAGTGTTGGGCCAGGTGGGAAGATGCAGTGACTTCCATTCACTCGAGGTCTTGGCTGTTTCCCTTTGAAAAGAATTGCTACAATAATTGTTAATGTGATTTATTTTTTTTAATAGTTTACAGCTGACAAAGTGCTTTTATATTCATTACGTTGTTTGATCTTGCTCTCACAAAAAGGTTGGTATTTTCATAACTGTTCTTGTTTTAGATGCTTAAATCTTAAAATTGGATATCATGGTTGGAGTGGTAGGTTAGGGTACATTTCTTCCCCACTGAGGCCAGGCTCCATAATCTAAGCACATCTAGTTCATGCTCTCCAGGTCAATTTGGTACTCTCCATTCAGTCCCCATCTCAGAAGTAAGGAAAGAAGGAGGAATTAAAAAGAAGGAAGAGCCGAAAATATGTCTTCACCATCCGTAAAGCACAGCAGCAATCCTGCTGGTCAGATGACAGAGGAGGAGGCTATGGTGCAGGCCTCTGGTGCACGGAGGCAGAATGGGATTCACCTGAAAACTCCTGACAGATACTCTCCAGTGCCTCTTGCTTCAGTGCCCTGAGAAAGGATTAAGGCTGATCCATGCCAACCCCGTCAGTGGGCTCATCTAACTTGGCAAGCATATTGTTGTTGACAGCTTCCAGGTGTGTGTTTTCTTAGACATGGATTCCATGCAAGAAAAATGCAATTTTTTTTAACATCTTTATTGGAGTATAATTGCTTTACAATGGTGTGTTAGTTTCTGCTTTATAACAAAGTGAATCAGTTATACATATACATATGTTCCCATACCTCTTCCCTCTTGCGTCTCCCTCCCTCCCACCCTCCCTATCCCACCCCTCTAGGTGGTCACAAACCACCGAGCTGATCTCCCTGTGCTATGCGGCTGCTTCTCACTAGCTATCTATTTTACGTTTGGTAGTGTATATATGTCCATGCCACTCTCTCGCTTTGTCACAGCTTACCCTTCCCCCTCCCCATATCCTCAAGTCCATTCTCTAGTAGGTCTGTGTCTTTATGCCTGTCTTACCCCTAGATTCTTCATGACATTTTTTTTTCTTACATTCCATATATATGTGTTAGCATACGGTATTTGTCTTTCTCTTTCTGACTTACTTCACTCTGTATGACAGACTCTAGGTCCATCCACCTCATTACAAATAGCTCAATTTCGTTTCTTTTTATGGCTGAGTAATATTCCATTGTATATATGTGCCACATCTTCTTTATCCATTCATCCGATGATGGACACTTAGGTTGTTTCCATCTCCGGGCTATTGTAAATAGAGCTGCAATGAACATTTTGGTACATGACTCTTTTTGAATTATGGTTTTTTCAGGATATATGCCCAGTAGTGGGATTGCTGGGTCATATGGTAGTTCTATTTGTAGTTTTTTAAGGAACCTCCATACTGTTCTCCATAGTGGCTGTACCAATTCACGTTCCCACCAGCAGTGCAAGAGTGTTCCCTTTTCTCCACACCCTCTCCAGCATTTATTGTTTCTAGAGAAAAATGCAATTCTTGTTGCCAAAGTATTTAACAAGTAAACAAGCTGCAAAATGCTAAAGGGGAACATAAAGATGTCTCCAGGCTTCCCATTGGCCTCATCAGGAACTGCTTGTCTGCCACTTCCCACACTTCCCAAAAATTCTGCTGTAGATAGGGTGTGTTTTATCTTTTTTTCTTAATAAGTGTTTGAAAATTTATTCTTTTTAAAATTTTATTTATTTATTTATTTATTTATTTATTTTTGTCTGTGTTGGGTCTTTGTTTCTGTGCGAGGGCTTTCTCTAGTTGTGGCAAGAGGGGGCCACTCTTCATCGCGGTGTGCAGGCCTCTCACTGTCGTGGCCTCTCTTGTTGCAGAGCACAGGCTCCAGACGCACAGGCTCAGTAGTTGTGGCTCACGGGCCTAGTTGCTCCGCGGCATGTGGGACCTTCCCGGACCAGGGCTCGAACCCGTGTCCCCTGCATTGGCAGGCAGATTCTCAACCACTGCGCCACCAGGGAAGCCCTGAAAATTTATTCTTATACGTTAGGAGCCAGCACTGTATACCCAAAAGGCGCCTCTCATTTAATTTGTGGATTAAACAAATAGTATGATTCCCATTTTAAATCTATAAAAATAAAGGAGTCCAGGAGATTAAATAAATTATTCTGCATCATATAATAAGTTATTAAAACTGTATTCCTAACTTGTAATTAGGTATCTATTCAAGTACCTATCCTCCACAGAGAACCCGTGGTCTTGAAGTCTCACTTTCTACAGATCAGAACCATTAACTGCAACCTGGTCAGGCTACCAGTTTTGGACACATTTCCACAGTGCGAGCCCTGCCTCAAGAGCAGGCAGCCCTCAGCTGCTTCTTATTCTCTACCTTTTAAGTATCCAAAGGATTTGGTTATTCCATAGGCCTCTGAGATAAATGCTTGATTATCCTTTCAGGATTTCAAAATTGTTCTTCGGGGACAGCCTAACCCTGATTGCTCAATTTTGCAGGCAGAAACACAGATTAATCATCACTATGTGAGTTCCTTTTTACGCTATCTGAAGTTTCTTGGATGGCTTTTCAACTTATGTAATAAAGGGGTAGACTATTTAATGTTTCTTCTGCAAATGGCATTTTCTAAGTGTATTTCAAATTCTAAAAAATTTTTTTTTTTTTACTGATGAATATAAATTTGAGTTTCTTAAAATTTAATGAAGCACTTTAAACAAAGAAAAAGAAAAAAAGTTGAAGGGCTAGTTATGAACAGCATCTGACACAGACTGGGACTGAGCGTTTTGTAAGGTAAAAAATTATGACGCTATGGTATCTTATCACTAAAAAGTGCTCCATGTGGGGCAGCAGGAGGGAATGAGATGCTTCTAAGAATAGAGTCATGAAATCTGCTTGCCTCTGTGAAAGACTAGGAGTTACTGGGTGCACCAGCCAGGTGAAGGTGGAATGAGAGCTACACATTCTGTTAAAAACATTTTTTTAAAATATAGTTGTCTTATTACAAAAGGAACACTTCCTCGTACTTCAAATAGAAAACATGACTAAGGAGAGAGGGGAAGAGAATAAAAAACATCTTAATACCACCACTGATTACTAATTTCTGCACTGGCTTTCCATAGTTTTGGGAATTAACTTCTAAATCAATGGGGGAATGAGAATTACCCTTGAAAATACCTTACATCGCTCAGTGTCAGAGAATGTTGCTTCCTCAGTTGAGCCCTTATGAAGTAGTTGTGTTAATAAGCCATGTTATTTAAGTCTAAATAAACAAATAAAAATAAAAGAATCTGTTAATACTAGAATCACGTTCATCATGACCAGATACTACAAATATGAACAGTGCACGGGACCAGAAATGGATCAAATTTACATCACCTTTTTCGGATTAACTTCGGGTTAAGTTCAAGCTAACTGAAAGGCAAGTCAGGCAGAAGTCATCACACCATTTAAAACATTCTCTCTTGTTCTCCTCCTCCTCCTCTCTTTCTTCCCTTTCCCTCTTTCCTTTATTCTTTCTCTTTTGCCTTCTACCTTTACCAAATTTAGGTGAATCCTCATGAAGCTGAATGCAAAATGGTGTGGTGCTGCTGTATTAATACATTTGTATCTACCCTTCAATAACTTTTAAAGTTACAAATATACGTACATACTAATTAAAAAATTCAACTAGTACAGAAAGTATAAAATAAAAAGTAAAAATCTTCTCTTTCTATTCTCATGTCTCATTCCTTAGCTTTCTTTCCACTTGAAGAGATGTAGGCAAGACCCAGAGTTGGGTTGGGGGTGAAATCAGGGGGTGTTCCTTTTTGCACTTTTATAAACTGTGTCGTTTGTGAGTGGGTCTGACCTAAAATCATTTTAGTGGGATTTGGAGAGCAAGAGGAGATTAAATGCATGGGCTCATTCTACCATTTTGAGTTAGGAGCCCTTTAAGGGCTTTTAAAACCACACTTACATTCACACATTTATTTATTTCACAAAATTGGAATCAATTGGTTGATTGGCCACCTGTGTTTGTCCTTAATAAATTTTAAAATCTTATCATATGAATAAATATTTATCTATTACAATACTTTAAATATAAATAGTACACATTATATGGATGTATTTATTTAACTAAACTTTTATTGTTGGCTGCTTAGGTTGCTTTTACTATTTCTGTATGATGAACAGAGCTTGGATGATCTACCCAGTAGCTCAGTCTTTGCATTTATGCTTGATTACTCCCTAAGGATAGAGTTCTAAAATTGAAATTCCTCACCAGAAGATACATACATTTTTTCAGGCTTTTGAGTGTATGGGGGCACCTGCTGTTCTTCCATTTTAACTGTGTAGTCTAGAAGTTAACAATGAATTTAGCTT